GCAGTAGTAGTAGTCGTCGTAGCAGCAGCAAGGACAATAAACATGGAAGCAATCATAAAGGGGAGAGGATTCTAAAAGGGCTTGCAGAATTGTAGAACAGGTTCGAGAACGGTCTCCATATGGTCCTATAAGGTTCAGGGTTTCAATTTTGGCTCGCCCGGGGTTCTTTTTCGGTTTTCATAGTTTAGGGAATCCCCACATATGCCTGGGAATGCAAGGTTAGGGGTTATGGTTGTTTTCGGGTTTCCATGGTTTCGAGGTGAAAGGCTTTTCGTATGTAGGGTTACAAGTTTTTTCGACATGTCGCGCCCGGGGGGTTGCAGGGTTAAGGGACTACAGGGCTTGGGGATGATCCTATTCAGGAGTTGTGGGCTTGAGGGAGCGGTAGGGTTTTGGGGATGACGGCGAACTTGAGCTGGGAATCGGATTCCTCTGACTTTTCCCAAGGTGGTCGAAGATTGGGGCTTGAGGCGTTCGGTCCCGATACTGCGCCAAACCCTAAACCCTAAACCCCTAAACCCCAAACCCCTAAACCCTAAACCCTAAACCGTGCTACGTCAACCCAAGGTGTATCGTCTTTGGCGATCTCATCGACGGCATGGGTGGAGCCACCGGTGGTATGGCGACGATGACTGCGGAGCAGATGACCGCGATGATGGACGGCATGATGAGCCAGATGGAGGCCAATCGAAAAGGTTTAGGGCTTGGGGGTTTAGGGTTGAGGGTCCCCTTACTCCCGATTAAACCCCGGCAAAGCCAACCTAGAACCCCCTGAACAGGAACTTTGCATCACCATGATGCTCGTCGGGGTGGGCGCTACCTTTGCGGCCTTTCTCCAGGGAGCCGCTTTCAAGATCTTCTCTGAGAAGCAGGCTTTCAAGTTCCGCGTCCTCTATTTCGACTCCGTTCTCCACCAGGACTGGTTTGATGTGGGACTTCCCGAAAGTAAGGGGTACCTCATTTTGGGGTCCTTATAGCAAGGATCCTACTATTTAGGGTACTATAGTAGGGTCCCCTTTTTTCGGAAACCCCCCATGTAGGGTTTAGGGTTTGCGTGAGCATGGGAAGTGGTTGGATAGGTGCCTGGGTTTTCAGGTATTTGGGCTTCAGGATGTCGGGTTCATCGCCGTTGTGGTTCTTTTTGGTGGAGGGCTTGTAGCCACTGCTCGGGACGTTCAAGACAAAGAGGTGGCTCAAGTGAGCTTGCAAGAATCTCTGGAGCTCGATGTGTAGGTGTCTGGGCTCCTAGATTCGGGTTTAGGCTTTATGGATGAGGGTTCAGGGTTTGGGGTTTAGGATGGTATCCCGTCGTTTTGTGCTCCGGCTGTGTCGAAACCCTATGCTCTCCACTACGTCCTACGTACTTTGTCTGTGGAAAACATGCAGAAAACCCTAAACTAAACTGTAGACCTTAAACCCTCCCTAAACCCTCCCTAAACCCTAAACTAAGCTGTAAACCCTAAACCCTCTTTAAGGAGGGCGCCTCCGAGCACCCCTTATGGAACCCGAAGCCAACTTAAATCAAATTGCTCTGCTGTGCATACTAACCCCAAAGTAGTTCCTTTTTGTGGTTTATACTATTTAGGACCCTATGAGGTATTCCCAAAAAGGAACTACTATGGAGCTTCTGGGTATACGCTAAACCCTAAACCTAGTTAGCCCCGAGACCCGCAACCTGGAGTTTTCCTTACCCGCCGCGAACCAGGACGTGAGCTGGTTCGACACCAGGGAGGCACTAGGGCACCCCGGGGTGCGGGCAGACATAAGCCGACAGTGGCATGAGACACCCATACCTCATAGGTCCCATAATCCCTCAACCCCCAAATCTCCAAGCCTAAACCCTAAAGCATTATAACCCTGAGCCCTCCACTGGAGGGCCTAGCTAGGCTCAGGCTTCATTGTGTTCCGGGCTTTCAGGCTTAAGGGACCATTTCGAAGATCTGAAGCTCTGAAACCAGCCTCCGGAACGGCACCCCGATGCCAACCACCCCAAGGAGTGCAAAGCTTAGGATGTTCCGGAGTCTCTTCATCATGAAACTCTCCGAGATTGTACATCCCCACCCGGCCCCAAACCATCGAAGCCAAACCCAAGCCTCTTCGGGCAGACTTCATCGCCGACTCGCAAGAATTCGCAAGAATTATCCCTGGGTTCTTCTTAAGGAAGTAAACAGTTAAAGTTACCACAGTGATTAACTTGCTATCGGTCCCCAGTATGCTAACTTAACCCAAAGCAAAACCCTAAACCCTGAACCCCTAAACCCCTAAACCCCTAAACCCAAAGCAAGTTCCCTGACAAGAGCCCAGAGTCGGAAGGTTGCAGCCCTGCCGGCTGAGATCAACGATGACTTGGAAAAGATCCAGGACCTGGCCATGCTTCTCATGGATGTAGGGTTTAGGGTTAGGGTTTAGGGGTTTAGGGTTTAGGGGTTTAGGGGTTTAGGGTTTAGGGTTTAGGGTCTAGGAGTGCAGGCCTTGGGGTTCAAGAGTTGGTTTGGGATTAACCTCACTATGGTCACTGCTGTCCGTAGTTCTGGGTTGCATGCCCAAAAGACAGTAGGACTGTCACGAATGCTGCTGTGAAGCTGATGGTGCTGGCTATGATGATGATGATGATGATGACGATGATGATGTGCCGCTGCTGCTGCTGCTGCTGCTGCTGCTGCTGCTGCCTGTGATCCTGCTGATGAGTATGCAGATGACGATGTTATGCTGAGGATTATGATGATGATGATGATGATGCGGACAGCAACTGCAAGTGCGCAGACGCCTCTTCATGTGCGGCATGATTTGCTTGTCTGATTAGCGTCATGGGCAGACAGCAGTGCTACGAACTTGGTGTGCTGGAAGTCGTCGTCGTCGTCGTCGTCGTCGTCGTGGTAGTTAGTGGGAGCCGCAGTGGCAGTGGCAGTGGCAGTGCAGGCGCAGTCGCAGTCGCAGTTTGCTGCTGCTGCCACTCCCTACATCACAAAGCTGTGCTAGGTGCCGCGTGTAATCTGTACGATATGGATGTAACTACATATGTAGAGAATATATTGTAGATTCTATAGTATTAGTACATTATATATATATATGTATATATGTATATAAGAGTTGTATGATGTATAAGGCACCATGTTCCAGCCCACCGCACGTTGCAGCATCGTAGAGAACCCGAAAGCTCAAGAGCCCGAAGCCCCAAACCCGAAACCCGAAATCCAATGGCTCATAGTGCCCTAAACCCTCAACCCCCAAAACCCGCCCTTAAAGCCCTAAACCCTCAAAGCCCTATAGACCCTTCAACCCTCCCAAACCCCCCTAAAGCCGTATAGACCCCTAAACCCAGGGAGCCCCCAACTCGAAAGCCCATATCTCCAAGCCAAAAGTCCCAGTGCTGAAATCCCTAAACTGGCGGGCCCCCAAAAAGAATGGACAGAAGCATAAGCATACTACAAGGATATTTCTACCCTTTTGGGTGTCTTTATACGGGTTTTCTTTATGGGATATCCCTGTCCGATTTTTGCAAACGTTGCTTTTTCGGGCCCTATAAACCTTTGGCGCCTTTCTGGAACATCCAAAGATTCCTTCTAGGACGCTGATTTTCAAAACAAGCCACCGAATGACGCTCATGAATAATGGCAAAGCCTAAACCCTCAACCCTAAATCCCCTAAAACCCTAAATCCCCTAAAACCCTAAACCCTAAATCCCCTAAAACCCTAAACCCCCTAAAACCCTAAATCCCCTAAAATCGTAGATCCTTCCTGGGCGAGCCCAGAACCTCAAGCTGACAAGGATGCTTTCGGAGATAAGTTTGGCAACGGAGTCATGGCGGCTGGGCTGCAGGTTTAGGGTTTGGGGCTTCGGGTTTAGGGCTTAGGGTTTGGGGCTTCGGGTTGCAGTAAGACTCAGGACCAATGTTGGATTTGAGGGTTTGAGGTTTGGGGAATTCAAGATTTTGGAGCAAGCCTAGACCCTAAACTCTAAACCCTAAGCTAAAAAAGATTTTAAACCTTGAACTCCTCACCAACAAACTGGCTGTGAAGGGTTGAGGATGGAAGGTCGTTAGTTCCGGGTTTGCCAAGCCAGAAAAGGCTTTGGGGTTTATGGGCTTTAGGTTTTCTAGGCTTTAGGGTTTCTAGGTTTAGGGTTTCTAGGGTTTAGGGTTTGTAGGGTTGATAGGCGACACCAGCAGCGGGTAGGCTATAGGGAGAGTTTATGTTTACCCCTCTGCGGCTCCAGTGGACACATATGATCTTTCTCAATCATCTCCACAGGCTTGCAGGGGCAACCTGATGATAGGGTCTAGGGTTTAGGGGTTTAGGAGTAACTGTGCTGGTTTGCCGGTTTTAGAGTAACAGCACTCGAACACCATAGTACGCAACCGTTCTAGTTTTTGGGAGTCAGGGAACTACGGTATCAAATGGCCAGAACCATAGAGCCCTCAGCAACGCATCCCATGGACCCATATAGAACCGTCAGGAAATCCAAAGACTCTATACACCGCATCGAACGGTGAGACAGCAATACTACCCCGCATTTCATAAACCCGAAGCTCTAAACCCGGTGACAAGTTCCTCAGAAAAAGATCGTTGGAACGCCATATACGGCTTTAGCAATTTCGAGAACGCTCACAAAGCCATGCAGAAAACCTCAAAGCGATGATCAACAACTGTACACGCACGCTGAAAATCTCAATGTCTTAGGCGGCCTCGGCTTTCCTCGGTGGCTTCGGCTGCGCCTTTGGAATGGGTTGGCTGATCGCCCTGGTGGCCTCGACGCACTGGGGTTTAAAGCTTGCTTTAGGATTGTGTACGGGTGTTATCTGGCCCCACGAAGTTTCTATAAGAGCTTTATGTAGTTTCCAAAGAGCTCTTCAGGTTTGCGAAGCGCTTTAAGGATACGGCTTCTATATAAGCTCTGCAGGTTGGTGCTTATACTCGAGATTCATGGTGCTCGAGAAGGGGTTGTATAGCGATTCCGAAGGGCTTTGACAAGGGATTGTATAGATAATTGGTTATAGAGTGTAGGGGTTGATTGGGGCCGATTAGGGACTTGGATATTTTGCGATTCAAGGATCAAGGATTACAGGGTTTTTAGCTGTGTCAGCCAGGGTTTAGGAAAGCGCAGCGTTCAGGAAGACGACTTGGCCCCTGGGTTCAGAGCTCACTTCCGCAAGTGCAAGCTGTTTCCCATGACAGCGAAGGGAGGAGGGAAAATGCAAGCCAAGCCAAGTCTGTTGAGTGATCACTTGGCTTGCACTGCCTCAAAGTCCAGGAGACTCAGGAGGCCCACCTGAGGCATTCGATGTTTGAAGAGTCCAACACTCCAAACCACCGAAGAATGTCGAGTGCTAAGTGTCATATCTAACTCCCCAAGCCTCCATTATGTAGGCCCATGTAGGCTTTTCAAGAGGGCTTCAAATACGATTCCCCAATACTGGGACGGCCCCAATACTCACAGTGCATTTTGAAACTTACTGGCTGAAAAAGGATTCTGTCGAAGACTGCTGTCTTGCAGTGCCCTGAGCCCCAAATCACGACAGCACCATAAGCCCATAAGCCAGTGTGCCACTAAATGCCGTGTCAAAACCTCGGCCCTGCATACCAGGACACCAAATTCCACACTCCAAACTCCACACCCTCAGCCCTAAGCCCTAAACTCCAAAACCTAAGCCCTAACTCCTAAGCTCCAAACCCTAAGCCCTAAGCCCTAAACTCCAAAGCCTACCCTGTGAACCGCAAGCCCTCAGCCCCAACCCTGAACCCTAAAGACTAAAACCCTAAGCCCCAAGCCCTAAAAACCAAAAACCTGAACCCTAAAACCCTAAAAGCCAAGGCCCTAAACCCTAAACCGTAAAAACCAAAACCTTAAACCCTAAAGCCAAAAC